CTACAAAAAGGGTTTGGTCTGTGCACAGCTGCTGGGAGTGGTGGTGCGTTGCTCTGCTGCCACGTAGCACTGTTCCAAGTTCTTGCCATTATCAGCAAGTTGTTAGTAAATTAAACCTGAGTGATTCCCAGCAAGACTTGACCAGAGGAGCAAGTATCAGCAGTATTGTTTCAGTTGTTTGTGTTGGCTTCGTGCAGAGGAACTACTTGATCTTTGTGCTTAAGCACACAGCTATGCTTTGTGTTTAAATTCCTGAGCCCCCCAATCACCCTAATGGGAAACGTTTTTAGTTTGGGAAATTCAAGGAAGTGTGTGGGTCTACTCAGAGGTTCTGTCACTGATGTGTAATATCATAAGGATTTCGAAGAATGTAGTCTGAAGTGCACCTAAAATTCCCACTGATGTGGTGTGTATACTTAAAACTAGTCAAAGCTATTGATTAAATGTTTGCTTGATGGACACTAGACACAAGGGCTGGGAAAATCTGTCTATTACTGTAATAAACAGCTTATTACTGTTGTTTCTGTGATGTGGAAGAAAATAGGCAGCTACTCAGGAGCCGTTTTTCCTCTACTCAGATACTTGAACTGGTTGTATGCCTGGAATTAGCAGTCAGATTTCAAGATTAGTGAAGGTATGATAAAACCTTTCCCCTGCTTGAGATAATGTGGTTCTCCAGGACAGTGCAAAGTGTGAGGGGTGAGTGCTGAGTAATCAGTGTGGCTCCATATAAAACTTTTCCAGCCCAGCTCAGTCTTGTAGGGCCTAAGTGGGTAACACAGGGGTGCAGTCAATCCTGCCTTTCTCAGTGCTTCACCTCAAGGAAGTGCATCCTCCTGAGTGTCAGCAGGGCAAGAGCAGATGGAGCTTGAATTGCTGACCAATGAGACTGGTGGTGCAGGAGTATCTAATGCTGTGGCAGTTCTAAGTGTGGATGGAACCAGGTTATGGAAATACTGGAGATGCTGCTGAGCTGGCATTGCAGGCAGTTCTGGGATGAAACCAGTTTTGGGGCTCTACTTCTAAGGCAGTGTTATTCTGTATTACCCATGTAGGCATTACCCTGATAACCAAGCAAATTGAAAATGCGTCTGAGTGCAAATTGAATGTACAGCTGCTTTCTGGGTCTTTCTCTGCTGAATCCAGGCTGTGGGCTTCCACTTGGCCATCCTTGAGCTGCAGTTCCTTATAGCCAAATTCTTGTGTTACTATAGTGTGATAAATTTAGCTTGTTTTGCCTCGGCTCATTTCTGAAGTTCTACACATATTACATTACTTCTTGCTTGTCAATACCAAAATGCCCAAAAAAACGTGTTCTACTCAGTTTAGTAATGTTGCAACAAAGCTTTGGTTGAGATTCCTGGAGATAGACAGTTGGAGAACCAGAGGACTTGGTTTCAAGTTGCTTTATTTTTTTCTTTCATGTCCTCATTCAGTCACGTTTCTTAGGAAGTGTATCCAAACCAATAATTTGCCATCTTTCACTTTGTGTCTCATGAATTTGGAAGAACAACAAGAACTATTCTTCACCCGAAAGGCTGGAAGGGGCTGAGGACCAAAATTAGATCTTAAGTCAAAGCTTTTATTCACGGTTTCAAGTTCGGGGTAGCGGAATTTCATTGTAGGGTTATTTTGCAGCTCTTTGCTCGTGAGATATTTTGTCAAAAAGGAAGAACTACTTTATGAGTTATCTACAGGCTGGCTGTGACTGGTGCATCTTGGGGTGTGTGTCCAAGTGGTCACATTTGGTCTGCCTTTGATGTAGAGACTGTGGAAAAGGATGCTTTAGGCCAAAGACAGGGCTAGTCCAACAAACAGCACAGAGTTCATAAAGGCAATTCCCACCAGATTTCCACAGTGGAGCTCCTAAGGCAGCTCAAGAGAGCAGCCAGTGACACAACAGAGAATCAAACTCAAGTCTCTCAGATGCCTTTTGTGTAGCCTGTTGGGCCTCGTGTTTGACCAGAGTGAGGGTTGTTGAAATTGGTACTTCTGTCCAAGAAGGAACATGTGTAAAGCTGCTTTAGTCCTGTAGGGACTCCTGTCCTTGTTGAAGGGTGGGAATTGTTGCATCACATTCTCCTCCATTTGGAGGTTGATTGTATGTTCTTGTATTTAATTGTGAAAGTATGTTTGACTAGCTGTGGATTAAAAGAAAGTGTTCAGTTCCTGAATATCTTTGCATCATTTTGGAGCAAGTTAATGACAGAAAAAGACAGCTCTCTGGCTTCTTTGGTTCACTACTGGACTTGTGTGAGATTGTGACACATGAACTCACAACGTTTTTTCTCCTACCTTTTCCAGCATGCTGAAGGCAGCACAGCCTTTTAAAAAAAACCAAAATTAGTAATTGAGTAGCAAAATAACTCAAAATATTCTAATGTAGAATAATACAACAAAATCACAGGGAGAGTAAGTTCTTATGAAATAAGTTTGTGTTTTAGCAACAAAAATCTTGTGTCAGTTAGGCAGTGTGTGTTTCAAAACTTGACATGTAGTGGAGTCAGTTCAGTGTGTTAGTATATGATATAAATAATGTAGTGTTTGATGATGTAAAGTTGAGATGTGGATCGTGGAATTTTGGTTGTCTCTCTCCTGGGAGCATGGAGGGTGGGTAAGAGTTGGGTGCAGAGAGGAGACACTTCATCCTGGGATGGAGAACAGCAGTTGTGTCTGATGATTATGGAGGAAAAGGAATGTGCAGATTCTGTCAGATGAGTAGGGCTTGTTTTTAAATGTCATAACCAAATATAAGTGTTATGAAAATAACTCATTTACTGATAATTTTATCTACTTTGAAGTTGAAAATTTGGTGAAAAATAGACTTATCTGGGTAGTGTAGCTCTTAGCACTGGTGATAGGAAAATTGATAATGCAGTTTGGAACTGTCACAGTGCTGTACTTATCACAGCAGGCTTTGGTATTGTGTTGTCTTGTGAGGCAGTGCAACAAAGCAGATTAAACTCTCTAGAAATGCCATCCTAATGTGCGGAGACTTTGGAAAATATTGCCAGTTGAGTGGTTTTTATGTCTGTGCTTGAGTACAGACTTCTGTCAAGGAGTTGGATAGAAGAAAAACTTAAGTCCTGGAATGTGCAGGGACTGTGCCCACCTGCAGATAAGTGCATTTGGAACATACTTTAGCCCATGAACTTGAAAACTTCTTGCAGCTCTAGACTGAGACAGAATTAATGGCTTTAGAGCACCAGGGAGGCTGAGGATGGGGTAGAGCTTTTTCAAGTGCTTCATGTTCTGCTGCAGGTCCTGGGTGGATCAGCGGCTGAGCCTGGAAGCTGAGGGTAGAACTGTGTAGCCCGTGGGTTTATCCAGTGCACTCCACTAATGCACTAATGCACTCCAGGGGATGTGCATTAGGCTCGTAGGGCATTTGTTCAGTTATTTCTTACTCTGTCCTTAAAAACTTTTAACCTTACTGCTAAAGAAAACTGCCATTGTCTGTTAGTACGACTGGAACGAAAGCTGAATAGCGAATTAGCCTTGAGGAGACTGTCAATCTGACTTTGATAGCCCATCACTTAAAAGGTCCTTTTATGTTTATGAAAAAGCATGACATCAAAGCCAGGGGAAAAAAAATACCAATCGTTAGGGCTTAACTTAAACTTGCATAACTTCCATGAAGAGCCCTTGTGTGAACTGTTTGTTTCTCCACTTGCATGGCTAATTAGAGTAGGTTACTATAAGTCTGAGCAGTGGCCATCAAGTTTCTTCTGCTGTTCTGGGGTAGCTTGTTTATGGTGCTTCCATATGTGGATCCCTCAAACTGGAGTGGCAGTAGAGGAAAGGATACTGTAGTCGCTTCTCTTGCAACCTCTAAGTAGCATGCTGGAAATGCTTGAATATAATCATTATCAGGTGAGTTGTTGTTGCAGGCTTATTTTAAAACCTGTTGCTAAGAAGGTGTATTTAGGATGCAGGAAACCCTTTTTCTCTGGTGTCTTGGATGCTTTATTTAATTTCTTTCACAGCAATGTACATGGTCACTTGTAACAGCAGAAGTCAGTTTGATGAAACTGTTTTAAAACAAAATAACTTCTCAGAGTATTACTATATTTCGGTTAGTTTTCTATCTTCTGGTGAAAATGCGAATGACCAGAGAAAGGCGACAAAGAGTTTCCAGGATATGGTGGAAATTTTTCATGGAAAAAAAAAAAAATTGCCTTTCTTCTCTTGCTTATTTAGAGTGCACACCAGTAGTTTGGTGTGAGGTTTTTCATATTTTGAATATAAAAAAAATTCTAAGTACTGAAAAGCTTATCTTAAATATAAAAATAGCTGTTGCTGAGGACAGTGATTGATCTGAACTGAAACACTTCTTTTCTTGCATCTTATTTGCATGATGTGTTTATAAACAGGCTGCCTTATTTGTATATGATTTAGGCCATATATCTGAGATATAAATAATCTGTAGGCAGAAAAATGGCGTCTTCCTGTTTTTCTAGTTTAATCAATGTATTAATTTAAAAAAAAACTAACAACCAAAACCTAAAAAAAAAAAAACGACGACAAACCTTTTGACCTCTCTTGGATCAAGGACAGCAATCCATAGTACTTGGTTTTCATTTGTAGCTATTAACAAGTAAAATGAGTCCTGCAGTACAACTCATTTATCCATATTTTAGTGAAAACTGAATGTCGCATAGCTGAAAGTCTGAATGCAGAACTGTCCATTCTGGACTGTCTGTATCAACTGGAAACCTGAGCGTTGGGCTTAAGTGAGAAATCTCATGTTGTAGAAGAATAACTGGAGCTTCTTGGTTTACTGATAATAATTCAGTTGTTGAAACACCAGGTTGTAAACTGATTTTTTGCCACCAGATGTGAGTTAGTGACATGCTGTGACCTTCCTTAGAGCTGTGCAGGTTTGTACTTTGTCAAATGCTTAGTTGGTACTTATGTCAGAAATGCACAGCTCAAATCCATAGCACCTGCGATGACGTTGTTAAGCAGTAACACCCTCTTTTATTAATTGTGTCGCACAGGTGCAGACTCACCTTGAGAATCCAACCAAGTACCACATTCAGCAGGCCCAGCGGCAGCAGGTAAAGCAGTACCTCTCTACCACTCTAGCAAATAAACATGCCAACCAAGCCCTGAGCTTGCCATGTCCAAACCAGCCCGGGGATCATGTCATGCCACCTGGAACTGGAAGCAGCGCTCCCAACAGCCCGATGGCAATGCTCACCCTCAACTCCAACTGTGAGAAAGAGGTAATACGCTCTCCCTGTTCACATTCTTCAGTAAAACAGAATTGCAATCTGCTTTAATTAAGTTGTTTTAAACCATTTTTGCTCATTGTTAAGATGTTGTGTTTATCTTTTCCGAACGTCATTGTGAAAGTGTAACTGCTGCCTCTGTGTCTGCCTGATTAGTAGATAGGTGCATAGAACGTTTTGGCATAACAACTGTATCCCTCAAACTTCCTCCTTTTTGAACTGTGTTAGCTAGTTGATACTTATTAAAACTACTTTTCTTTTCCCCCACCCTGTTGCTTGATGCAACAGTGAATAATTGACCTTTGGAGAACACAAAGCAGCTTTGTAAGCTGTAGCTTTCTGGAATAATGTTATTTATGGCTCATTCTTGTAGAAAGAGCAAAGAGCATAGCAAAAATAACTGAAAAAAAAAACCAAAAAGCTTTTTTGAGATATTTCAGGTATCTTTACAGTAAAATTTGTGCAAGTCTCCTGTGTAACTGGAAGGCCAGATTATCCCAGCAAATATACCCTAAAATCTTACTGGTTGCTGTTTCAGTGCTGCAAATATAAGACTTCACTAGCCTATGCCTAGAAGTCCTTTGCAACCTTGTCTTAATCTTTACTGGCGTAAACTTAATTAGATGTTACATGTGTGCTCAGGCACCAAAGGAAGATGACTGGGAAGATATTGACAAGTATAAGAGTTATGTCAATATTTTGTAAAATGAAAAATTGGAGACAATATAGAACTGCTTATGTCCTCTCATCCTCAAGCCTTTGTGCCAGATTTTTACTACAGATTCAGTCTGTGAGGAGAATACTACACATCTTTGAGAAACAGTTGTTACAGAACATATTTTGCACATGCAAGAGTAATACTTGTGCTCCATAGTTTCAAAAGAAATGAAAATCAAATATTTCCATCCATTGTCCCAGTGGCACCCAAATATTTTTTTCTTCAAGGTATTTACAGCTTCACTTTGCTGTGTCATCAGGAACATGTGTGCATGACACTATTTCAATCGTGCTCTTTTTGGGACTGAGACTGTGCCATGAACTCAGATCCATGCTTTGCTTTTTCTTCTTCTTTTTTTTTTTTTTTCCCCTTTTCTTTTCTTTTTTTTTTTTTTTTTTCCTTTTTATTTCTGCAGGGATTTTATAAATTTGAAGAGCAAAGCAGGGTTGAGAGTGAGTGCCCGGCTCTGAATACACACTCACGAGCATCATGCATGCAGGTACTGGATGACACAGGAGGTGGAGCACAGGTCCCCTTTCTAATGAGCATGTTTCTTTGATGTTGTGTTGACAAATAAACTTGCCCTGTAGTGTCTTTAAGAAGTTGAATATTAAATGTATTTAAGGTACAAAAGAGCAACACTGTTTGTTAGCATTGATGTCAAAAGTGCATGGAGACATCCAAAAAGGGCTCGTGCTGTTCTAGCACTGTAATGCTATAGCAGAAAAACACCTCAAACATGCTTTAAGGTCTCACTTCAGGAAATCTTTTCTAAATGGATTTTCCGAGACTGCATGGATGTGTTCTTACCCTGATAACTTCTGACTCCACATTTCTATGCAGATCAAACTTGCATTTAAATAAATTATGTGAGGAGGCTGTGGTAATTCATCCTCAGTAATCACCCTTTTATATTTTTAAATTTTTTTTAAACTAAATTTTTTTTATTCCTTCCCAGAAACAGTAACAAGACTTTAGTTATGGGCTGTAACTGTTAGTTCCTTTGTTGCCCTCACTTCCAGTCAGTGTAATTTGTTCTGATCACACTTTCTGAAGCCGATGCAAAAATCCCGTATACTACTATCCCATGTACTACTACTTCTATCATCAGTGTTATGCATTGATTTTCTAGATCTCTGTTATTTAAGCTCTTTTTTTTATAATGAGCAAAAAGGAGATAGTCCTGCAGGACTGTTGGAAACAGCTGGGTGGGTGCTTTGGAGAGGTGTTTCTCCTGACCATCTAGGAGCTTACGGAGGAACCTTCCAGCCCAGCCCAAAAAAATATGTCTTGTACCACCTAAAATCATCTCTGAGCTGCCCTTGGGTGGTGCTTCCTGGGAGGGTGTATGAGGGATATGAATCCAGTGGATTCTGCTGTCAGTGGTGGGCAGCCTGTCACCCCACAAGCAGAAGGCCTTTGCTCCCTCTCCTTCCCTGAAGGTGTCAGGGGCTCAGTGTTCCTGTCTGTGGGCAGGTGTTGGTCCCACAGAGGGAAGAGGTGGAGGGTAGGTGGGCAGTGCTGCGGGGGAGAGGGAGTCATGTCGTCAGCATTGCTCCTTCTATGGGCAGCTTCCTCCTCTGCTGTTCCTGGGAAGGAACAGTGTGTCCGTGGGCAGGTAGTGCAGGGTACCTGCTGGTGGGAGGAGTGGGTTAGACCATGAAGCCTCAGCTTTGCCATGACCTGAGTGTCCTGGCTGGGTAGCAGGAGTCGTGGCTGAGGGATTGCAAAATTGCACCAGCACCTTGGGCTTGTGCTGCAGAGCCCGTGTGTGGCTGAAGGGCTTTGTCAGGCCTCTGTATCCTGGTGATTTTGATGACTGGTCTGCTTTTCTTTGTCCACCTTTTCTGCTGCAGATGGATGATGTGATCGATGACATAATTAGTCTGGAGTCAAGTTACAATGAAGAAATCCTCGGCTTGGTGGACCCAGCCCTGCAAATGGCAAACACGGTACAACGGTCCTTTCCTTCTGATTTCCCTGTTAAGTCTATTTATCTTTCCTTGAGAGAAAGCAGAGCTGCAGCATGGCTTCTTTTCCTTGTAATTAAGTAGTTATTGTATTGTTCCACAGAGTGTAATTGGTTTTTTTCTTTGAAGAGCTCAAGGCATACAGTTGCAATGAAAAACACGAATTTAAAAACACAGGCTGGAGTCAGCTCAAGGGAATACAAAGGACAATTTTACCTTTCTTATTTTCAAGTTATGTCAGTTGTGAGAGGATTACAACAGAGGAGTAAACTGTGCTACCATGAATAGCTCATTCCCATCGATCTTAAAGACTGCCATGAACTTTATACTTGTCTTCAGAAAGGAAGGAACCTCTGACATCCCAGGTTGCTGTATCTTGTCATATTCAAGTAAGAAACTGTATGTTACATGTTGGCATCGCTGTCCAGAGATACTCTAGTTTGACAGTTAGCTCTGACATCACAGCTTTAGCTCAGCCTGATATCAGTTGAAGAGAAGTCCCCAGCTAGACTACAACAAAGATGTTACAGAATTTGGGGGGACGGGGGGGAATTTTAAAACACAGTCTTAAACAAAAGGGGAAGGAATAAAGGAAATTAAAAACTGACCAAGTTTGGGCACGTGGGAAGCCTGTCACAAACATCAAGAACACAGGAGTGTGGAAGGCTCTGAGCAAGGCAAGGCCCAGGTTACCTCCAAGTGGCTGTTTCGGTTTGGTTCACGTTGCTTTGAGAATTAGTCTAATCATACTTCTGGCATAATCTGATTTTGATCTTCTGTGGAGGGTAGCTCCAGTGAATTTTTTGCCTTAGGCTTAAGTGCTGTTAGATCTGGCTGAGTAGATGTCTGCCAGTGCTGGCGTCTGTTTCTTTTTTATCTGGTGCCAAAATTTACAGCTTACCACATAGCATTGATTTTGTAGCACAGGTTTACATTTGCTGACAGTAGTCGTCTGATGTCATGTTAACCTAGTCCTGTGCTCCCACAGATTCCCACAGCCCTCTCAGAGACGTGGTGCATGACGCAGGAAGCGGCCCACCAGCTTCCCTCTCTAAATAGTGCCCTTTGAGTACATGGAGAAATAGCTGCAGAGTCCTACCAGAAAGAATAAATTTTCCTTTAGTCTAAGATGCAAAGTGCAACTGTCCTGGAATTTGAGAGAAAAACTCAGTGAACTGCGAAAAAGATAGCTTTCAAGACACTTCATCTATTTTTTTATATATATATATTTTTAAATTGAGGGATGAGGTTCTTCTGGAGTCCTTTCTCTGAAGTTCCTTTGGAGTGCGACTTGTTAAATTAGGAGGGACCTGGTTATTTTTGTGGTTTTCTTCCTCTCTCATTTCACAGGGACCCCAGCAATGGTTCTTTGCTTCCAGGCAGGGACAGAATAGTACTCTGCACTCTTCTGGTGCAAGGAGTCCCTGCAGTCAATGTTCAGGGTAGTCTGCATCCCTCCTGCTCACTGCGTGACAAGAAGCCTTGTAAAGGCTGCCCAGTCCATGTTTACTGTGGAATTTAAGAATTAACCCACTCTGTGTGGTGAAGTCTGGAAAATAAGGATATGAAACAGTAGAATTAATATTTCTTTACTAATACATTTAAATTGCTACAGGAAAAAAGCATATTTCAGTCTCTGATTTAACGTAAAGAGATGGACATTGACCCATGTTTCCCAACAGTTGGCTTGGGGAAAAAAATGTAACGGACACTTTTCTTTTGGGACAGGATTTAGCTCCTAAAAACACACATTATTTTACTAATAAGGAATTAATGTTTATAGACTGAGCTAAGTAGAGGTGGGAGAAATCAAGAGAGGAAATGGTCTCTAAAGAGACGCAACCTATAAATAGCTGTGCTGAGACTCTGACAAAGGCAGCTGTTGTTCCATAACCAACAAAGAACAAAAGGACCAGTTTGTTACAGTTGGTAACAGTACTTAATTGATAAGCAAAATCAGAGATTTTTGTGCAGAGCAAGCTAAGGGAGATTTCCAAGTGCCTTGAACTGAAAATGGCTCATTGCAATCAACTGCTTGTGGAAGTGTTTGTAAACTTGGGGATTGGGCCACCAGTTAATTGGCTTTACTCCACTTTTGGTGGAGAGTGCCACGAAATAGTCTGTAGTTTGCAGAGAGGGTATTCTGCATAGATGTGACTTAGTAATTGAATTGCTGAGTCCTGTGTAAAGTACTTGTGTACCAAGTGGAGATGACAACTAATTCATCCAACTAATCAATTCTAACCAGAGCCTGACATGGAAAGCTGTGTATGGACAGCTCCACTTTTAGATGTGGCTTTCCCATGGAATTAAACTCCAGAAGTAGAGAGGAGTCTTATTTCAGGGACTGCTGCTGAGCGTGTGCTTGTACGTAAGGGAACAACACAATACATTGTAGGCTGCAAGAGCTGGGCAACAGGATCCATTCCAGTGTGTACTGATACCTCAGCAACAGCCTTGTTGATCACACAGCTGATGTCTCAGGGATTTTAGACAGAATGTGGGTGCTTGTTTTGTTGGAGTAGTGGAGGAGAAATGAAAGCCTGAGACTCCCATGAATGTACACTCCGATGAATCTGCAGTCATAATTACCATATTTGAAGTTTCTGTTATATAAAAGCTGTTATTAAAAAAAACCCAAAACCAGAGGCAAAGCAATAGGAAGGTTGAAATTTGTTTTACTTGGTGTGTTTGTGCAGCTTGTAAAGCCAAGGGCTTGAAATATGAAATCTCAAAAACTAAGGCATTTTAGACCATACTGTTTCAATATGCTAAGCCTGGCATAAGCCATTCTTCCTTCATTTACCTTTTGGAAGAGTAAAGGTGGATGATCTGACTGATGCTGCATTTAAATTTCTATTTAGCCAGAAATAGCTAAGAAAGCCTTAAGGAAAATCATATTTAGGTTGGAAACATGATAGAATTTGGAGAAGACAGGGAAGGAGCCTCCATGTCTTTCTCAAAGTTTGGGACTCCATCTTCGTTATGAAATGACCGTGAAAGTTTTGAGATTTTCCCGTCTCCTTTTACTTGGGGATAGTGATGAAAGGCTTGACTGTCTTAGAGCTGAAATGTTTGCAAACAGTGTATAATTTTGTTCAGTTTCTTTCGCAGGGAAGAATTTGAAATCAGTGCCAGGTGTCACTGGAAGGGCATTTACCTCCTCTTGGGTTTTTTTTTGCCTTGTTTCAGCCTAGTGGCTGCTTTTGTGTGCTTACAGCACTACAGACTTGTCCATCTCAAATCAATGCCCTCAGCACGGGGTTCTTCTCCCCTCTCCAGTTCCCTAAACTCTGCACTAATGATTATTGGTTTTACCTTAGTCAGTTGATTTTATTCCTCTGGGAACTGTTATATAATTGTGAACAGAGGATGTACCTCGGTTTTGACTTTTGGTCTTTAGCTGCAGGTATGTTATGTGAGGTGACCCAGAGTGTTGCATGCACTTGGTTTTCATATGGAAGTAATAATATAAGTGAGTCCCTAAGATGTGACTTGTGGGGTCCTGGAAAAGAGGTCTCTCAGAGGCTCATACTCTGTGTGGACTGTACCTGTAAGAAGATGTTACAACTGAAGCTTTGGAGTTCAGATGGTGGGAAAAGTCAAAGAAAGAAGCTGATCAGTCTCTTTGCTTATGGATCACTGATTTAGATGATTGGCATCTCCCCCTAATTTCCCTGATAAGCATTCCTGTGTACAGCCTCTAGCAGCCATCCAAGTGTGCACATTCAGCAGTTGCTGCTTGCCTTTACTGTCCCCTTTTCCTGTTTATTTACATGGAAATCTGGCACATTGACACCTATGGGAAAAAACCATCAATCATGAACTGTTGTAACAAGCAGCTTCTGTCATGCAGTAAGGAAAGCAGCTTGGTGACTTTAACTATTCTTCACGTTTCATTACAACCTGGCTGCTTTACCCAGGCTTTGAGATGCTCGTTTCTAGTTTTCTAACAAAAAAATCAATTCCCCCCTCCCCCCCCTAAATTCCCTGATCTTCCTAATTAGATTTCACATGTCTGGTTATGAACTTCAAGTCCTTGGGCCACAAACAAGGTCTTTGTGCTCTCCCCATGCTTCGGAGCATGAATAGAACGAGCACATCCAAGTCAGAAGGGTGTGTGACGCTATCGCTGTGCCGGTGTCATGGATGCATTTGGGGGGCCCAAAGAGACAAGGGTCAGCCTTGTAGAGAGCAGTGAGTGGTCACCCTGACACTAGTGTGGGTAGGGTAGATCATAACTGGGGCAGCTGTGACCTGAGCAGCATTATTAGATGTTTTGTTTTTTGGGGGTTTTTTTTAATGCATTCGAGAACTAAGGGCAGGGTGAGGAATTGTAACGCTGAATCTTGGTGAGAATTCAGTTACATTTTTTCCTCTGTCACTTAGAGGTTGAGTCAGGAGACTTTGTTTTTGTTGTTGGCCACTGTGTTCAAAGCATGTATCAGCATGGCCTCTAGCTGGTGGTACTTCACCTATCAACTTCTATTTGTCTGCTTCCACATGGCAAAGAAATTTTCTTAGGTCTCCCTCTGTCAAGGACCATCAGTAGGAGTTTAATAGTGCAGGCTGTGACTCGCTGCATTGTATTCAACAGCATTATTTAAATGGGTGTAAAGTTAATACTTACTCTAATCTCTGCAGGATCAATGTCTTGGGGGGATTGGTTTTCTTTGCAGCAGTGATGATAAGAAGTATTGCCACTCAGATAAGATACCAAAGTGTTTTATACCTGTCTTTTCAAAAACAAATAAGAGATGGGTAAAATAATCCACTCAGGATAAATGTAAGCTTCTTTAAATGCATTTCAGTTTAAAGGGATAGTTTTGGTAGGTCTTGTTGGAATACTGTATAAGTTTGCCTGCTTAAACATACCTAAATAAGCATTGCAGAGTGAACAAGTAATTGGGGAAACTTAATGTAAAAATAATCTTCCTCCTACTGGTGCGTGTTCTTGTTATGTAAGGCAAAAAACAAAGTAAACTGAAATGTTTTCTGTGTAGGTAGCTTTCAAATCACATGAAAAATGTGATTAATTAATACAGTGTTCTTCCTCAAGCATGTGACAACTTGCAAAGTACTTCACTCACATATCCCTGGAAAAAGGGGAGCTTTCTCCCAGAGAGTTCTTATACTCTTTCAGATGTGAGGGAAGTGTTGGGGGTACAGATGTAATAGCTTTAAGTGAAAAATAAGGAGCAACAATTACACAACATCATCAGGATTTTACCTCTTTTACATATTTTTGAGGAGATGTTTTGTTCCTCATGCCTGTGCATATCTATGTGACTTTTGCTGACCTTCTTGCACACTCTGTTTGCACATGGAAAAGAGCACAGATTTCTCAGCAGATCCTGACTCTGTTCTTCTGTAGAAAGGCATTCATAAGTGCAAATCAAGTGATCCTTTTCCTTGTTTATCTTTTGCAGTTGCCTGTGTCTGGCAATTTGATTGACCTTTATGGCAACCAAAGCATGCCTCCTCCAGGACTAAACATCAGCAACTCATGTCCAGCTAATCTTCCTAATATAAAAAGGGAGCTCACAGGTAAATACATCTAAAATACCACCTTGGAGTAGTAGTATAATTGTATTGAATTCAAGTGATATTGGACATATTTTCTGAGAAAGAATACATGGTTGAATAGTTACTTTTTGCTTTGCAGACCATTTTTTTAGCAGATGTATCAGCCTGCCATGCAGTTGTGTTCATGTGTGGGCACATGTGTGTGCACTGTCACAAGTTAAGATAAAGTCCCCAGTTGTTACAGTCACACCTGTTTGTTGAAAATGTGACCCAGGAAGTTTCCATGCATCTCTTCCAGAGCTGTTTTCTAGTTTGGTCTTATTGTTTGGTCTGTCAACACTAAACTTCAACAACTTCACATCTGGAGTCTCTGTGGGATTCATGTCGAGGAATAATACACACTAGAGGACTTACTGTAGTAGGAAAGAGCAGTAATGATCAAATAACCTGTTATAATATGAAATCTGGAGATGTAGATCCTATAAAATGTAGAATTAGGCACTGAGGGGGGCTGGAACTTCATGATATTTAAGGTCCCTTCCTTCCCAAGCCATTCTATGATTCTGTGAATATGCATCTCTAAATTAAGATGAAAATTAAGTATTTCCTTAATTTCTTGTTATACCAGTTCCTCCAGCAGTGCTCTAAACAATCTGTGGGAGGCAGGGGGAGGAGAGGAGGACATTAAAAACCTCTTTCTCTCAAACACATGTGTACAGAAGCAAGATAGTTCAAAGCAAGTAATAAGAAGTTTAATATTCTCAAGCATGTTTTATTTTGCTTCACTTGAAAGGATAAAACCTCATATAGGGTACATATACAAGGTAAGTTTGTCTGCAGGTTGAACTAATGGAGATCCATTCTAGAATTGATGGCAAAATCATCTTAATACCCAGAATTGGCTGTTCTTAAGCCCAGCGGGGAGTCACTGACTGTATGCAGTAGGTTGGAGGCCTGGTTTCTTTTCTTGTCTATCATCTTTCTGGGTTTCAGTTGTGAAAACTCACAGGCTGACTCAGTTGCAAAGCAGGTTCTGGGCAGGAATTAGCTTAAGTAGAACAGTTCTAATAGGCCAGGAGTCAGGTTCTCAGGAGGAAATGCCACATCTCTGAGCCAGTGGGTATTTGCATTTATATGACTGCACAGAATTGGAGCTCAGCACCAAAAGAAGACACACAAAGTCCAAATTACAGGCAGTTTCATTGCCCAAAATATAGAAAGTTCAAGGAGCTTTAGAAAAGAAGCTGAAGACCCAACTTGGATGTGCAGGCTGGTGGATTCACTGCAGATGGTTGTGTAAGACTGCAGGCCAAGAAAGCAGAAAGAGAGGAGAAATAGTGAGTGGTCTTATGGAAGTCCTTGATACATCAAAACAGAACTGAAATAAGTTACATGTCTATATGCTACACTCACCAATACATACAATTTAGATGAGTGCTTTTTCTGATCAAAATACATGCTAGCTGATTCAGGGCAGGTTTAGGTATTAAAGTAAAATTTAACAGCAGTCACTTGGACACTGATCTACCCAAGCCTTTGTGCACAAAGCTCCATTGATGGTGCTTTCTGACAGCCAGTGATTTTAAAATCAGCATGTTATTGCAGGCAGGAGTCTTTTGGTTCTCCTTTTCCTGATTTTGTTGCTGGAGCTAGGCTAGAGAGAGTTGCAATATTTAAATCTAGCATTTGGCAGAAACTTTTCTTAATCCTACTATATGCTGAATATATACCAAATAAATACCAAAATGGTGAAGAACCCCACAGAAAATCCAGTCTGTTATCTCAGCATCTGATGTTGATGGTTGTTACTGTAGTTACTGAAGCATTTATTGGGAATCCATCTCTCCCAAGAGTGTGGTTTCTATCAGTTTTGGCCTCACAAACCTCATATCTGTTTAATAAAGCAATGTCAGATTTAAGCCCAAATTTCATTAAGACATTCAGTGATCTTTCAAGCTTTTGGGGGGATCCTTGGGGAGCCTGGCATAGAAAAGGATATGTCCTGTTGTACTGCGTGTAATATTGGGGTACCTCTGTATTCTAAGCAATGAAGCACTCCAAGGGAAACCCTTAGCACCTGTTAATTTGAATTGGATGGGACATAATCCATATTCCTTAGAAATAAAATAATACAGGAAAGAAACTTATTGGAGGCAGTGAGGAGTTGTTTCCATAATGGAATGTGTGATAATACATGATAGACTCATTCCTCCTCACTGACTTACTGTGAAACTGCATAGTGCCTTGCTGGTTTGGGGATTTAAATGCAACAGGGCAAGGATTAATGACCTCACCTTTAAAAAAAAAATAAAGTGGTAGAGCAAACATGAAAATACTTAAAATTGCTTGAGAAACATAGGATCAAACAAGAATTATAAATAACAGATTTAGTTATGTTCTTGCCCAAACTGTTGCAAGCTGAAGTTAATAATTATATAACACTTATAGAATATAATAACATTAGTAATATAATAATAAATAATAGCTAATAAATGTGTGGAGTAAGGTTAGGAGCAGTTCTGAGTTGAGGAGACAAATTCTGTGCAGCGCAGCTCTCATTAGTTTTCTTTTTGCTTTTCCTGAAGCAAACCCCTTTGTTTTCCAGCTTTGTGTGCTAATGAGGGTATTGAATTTTTCATCTTTTTTTTTTTTTTTTTTCCTGTAGGATAGGAACAGTTAGTGTAGCTGGAAAATACAGTCATAATAGGTCACTTAAGTTATCCCTTTAGTGCTGTGGTGATGTGTGTGCACGTGCCACAGAAGGCCATATCCTTAATTGCAGTGAGCAGAGGCTCTGACTCCTGCCTGCTTCACATCCTGTGCAGGTAGCAATGCCATAAGCATGCTGTCCCTCTGGTTCAGCTCCCGTGGGACTCGTATGTAAACGTAGGAGAAGGTATGTTGGATTTCAGCAGCTTGTTGTCCTCAAATACCTTGCTGAGTCAGGGCCTCCGTGGGAAACATTCTCATCGTGGAAGTCAGCCTGGGAGGTGTGGGAAGGGACGCTCTGCAGGTGCAGAGGTGAAGCTCAATACCAGTGGTTGTGTTCTGGCATTCCCAGGCCCTTCTCACTCCTTGGAATGGGTGTAGTAATGGGTGTGACAAATATCGATCAGGCTTCCCGTGCAGATGTTTCACAGACTGAAGCGTTGTGTTTGAATTATTTTTAATTCTAATTACTTCATTCACATGCACAGCATGTATTTTTCCTACAGAGTCGGAAGCAAGAGCGTTGGCTAAGGAGAGGCAAAAGAAAGACAACCACAACTTGAGTAAGTTTTGGTTCTTCACATTTTGCAACAATTCTAGGAGTGATTTTGGGCACTAAATGTTCAAATACTGATGATTTAAATCTGAATGAGTCACTGCAGGTAGTATATAGTATTAGTTTGTTATGTCATGCCCACAGATCAAATATCTCAAATTCCTGTGAAATGTGTGCTTAAATGTACTATTGAATTTTAAGTCTATTGTTATTTTTTTCAATAAGCCAAGTGTATGAGTGAATGTTATCAATGGAATTGCTGTGAACAACACGTGACTCAATTGCTTTTAACAAATCCACCTTTCACCATTTGCTTTTTTAATTTTAATTATTTTTCAAATTAGATATGTGGTCAGTTTGTGACTTTAAACAACGGTTTTGATCCTCAGTGTGGCAATTTTATAGATTTCATTCTTGAAGGGAACTCATATTTCCAGGTTGGAAAAAAAATTTTTAAAATAATTAGTATCTTATGACTTAAAGAATCCTTAAGTTATCTTTTTATACTTTATATTACTAGAAAAAAGGAACCATTTCATACCTTGAGCTGTTCAGAAGCCCTTTCCATAGCATGAAAAACTAATGCTGGAAAATTGATATTTAAAACTGACTTTGGGATCCTCAAAATGTTGCATTTGTAAGAGTACTTTGAAGAAGAGACTGTGTCCTTTTTCACTATTCGTGCTTTGGGATTTCCTTGAGCATGTGAATATTTGTTTCTGAATTTGTCTGTGATGCTTTTCCCTAGGAAAGTGTTTTCTTCTCAGTCATCTCAATTTTTAGAATCTCAGTTTAACTCTGCCACTTCAGCAGTCCCAAAATTTACAGTATAGACAGAACTTCTGTCTTAATATGTCTGTGTGTAGGAGAGAAAATAAATTATCACTGGATTTTAAGCTTCAGGCAAACATTTCAAAGGTGCTGAAAGAAACCTTGGATGAAATAGTTTGTATGTTGTAATTAAGTGTGAATATTACTTGTAACACTTGTGCTGTTTTTCCTAAAGTTGAACGAAGAAGAAGATTTAATATTAATGATCGTATAAAAGAACTGGGCACCTTGATACCCAAGTCAAACGACCCGTAAGTGTAGCGTGCCCGGGGACTGTGGGAGGGAGGGGTTAAAGGGAAATAATCCTAAGGGAGAACAAAAAAAAAAAAATCCTGTTTTCTTGTTGCTCTTGGCACTCTGTGACTGTAGAAATCCTTGCAGGTTCCGTTATATTTTTTTTTTTAAGATTGATTTGGGGTTTATTTTTCCCCTTTAGGAGCCTGCTTATGTTTATATTAATTTGATGATTTTTGTCACAAAGCTGAGGTTGGTGCTGGGAGTGACTGACAGCCTTACCAGAGGCAGAACTGTGAGGATGGGAAACCATAGTCTGGTCTTGCCGCTTAGCTGGTTGCTTCTCTTGCCAGATGATTCTTTTAATTAATTAGATGCCATAGCTTGACAAGACAGAAACAGTCCCTCTTTCAGTGAAAATGGGGGGCAGTTCATCTGATAATTTTATGATAATTTTACTGCTATTAGCTTGTCTTTACACTTTCCCAATGCTGATTCAGTAGCAAGGAACCCTCCTTACTCTAGAGTTTGAAAGTCTCGCTTAAATCTGAATCAGTGCCCCGTGATGCTTCTGGGGAGAGTTTCCAGTGTTTTAAAAGCAGTTGCTCATGGAGCAACTCACAGTTACTCTGCAGAGAGGCTTTGCAGCTTCCTCAAAGGCCAGAAAACCAGTATTGCTCAGTATCAACCTATGGGACAGGTGAATCTTTGCTGATAGCATGCAGACTATTTGTTTATTTAAAGAAAGTAAGATGATGTGAGGAGAAGGCAATGCAGCACCCTCTCCCTCTGAAGAGAGTGTGCTTCCCAAGAGCAGCACTCCGGCCCCCTCTAGTGCATTTCCACTGCCTTCTGTATCCATAAACTTGGAATTAAATATTATCTGGGTGTTAACATCTGTATGAGGTGTAATCACAGCTATGGATGTAAAGGGAACAACTATGAAATAAAGCCTCCCCGAGGGCCTTATCTTTTCCTTTTGTGTTGATTCCAAAGGGATATGCGCTGGAATAAGGGAACGATCCTGAAAGCCTCCGTGGATTACATCCGTAAGCTGCAGAGGGAACAGCAGCGCACGAAGGAGCTGGAGAACAGACAGAAGAAGCTGGAACATGCCAACAGACACCTGCTGCTCAGAATACAGGTTTGCTGATAAATAAGCTGCAAGTGCTCTTCATGTTTGCAGCGTGTGACTGCAGATAGTGGTGACTGAAGCTTGTTTGTAGGGGTGTGGGTTGGAAGGAACCAGCATTTAAATTAACAGTGACCAGTGCTGAGATGAGGCTTTTCCAGAGAAAGCCAAGGATACATAAGTTTAAAGAAAAAAAAAATGGAGTCCTAACGCTCTAGTAGAAGCACTTATGGGTAGTCTGGTTTTGTTCTACTATGGCCCACATTAGTTGCAAAGCATACTATTAAAAAGATTTATATGGTAGTACATTTTTCTGGGCGCTGGGCCTAAGGAATTGGGACTTCATAAATCACCTGTTTGTTGATATTTATGAAATGCAGTTTGGCTGCTTGGGAGTTTTCCCCATACCTTGATGTCTGTAGGACAGTACAACAGTTCTTCTCAGCACTGAAAAGCAGTAAGTGGCATAAATACGTTTTCTCTGTGTGTTGTTGCCTTGTTGGATTCACCCAGATTCCCACTGTTCTGTGCTACACAGAGATCTAAGGGTGAGAACTCCATTTCTCTAATTAATTCCTTTGCCTTCACCTCAAGCTGGATAGGCAATCTTAACCTTGCAGCCTACACAACTTTTGTTGTCACCTCTGTTGTCCAGGTGGGCAAAGACAGCTGGATATCCACCCTTCTCTGAAAAAGGGTAATTAGTGTATCTAGAATTGGGTGTAAGAACACGTGACATAGAGACAGTGATATCCCAGATATCCTCATGTTGCTGCTCACCTGCAGTGCGAACAGCTGAGCTCTGCATGGAGCTGCAGTGTGCCAGGAGACCCCTGAACCACAGCCCAGCTAATCCACCAAGGAGATAATGAAGCTACAAATACCTGGGAGTCAAGTGTGGAAGTAAACAGCTTTAAAATAGAACAGGCTGGGTTGAGCTTCAGTGCAGTTTTTGTACTTGGTTGAACAGTCTGCTTGTTAGAGTGAGATGATAAAAACTCACAACCCTTCTGCAGAGCAACATCAAGCAGTGGTGCTTCAAAGCTGAGATCACTTTTAAAACATCTTTCATCTTCCTTTGCATTATCCATTTGCTCTGGCTCCTTCAATCAAAATAATATAAGACCCAGACCCTTGAATAACAGGCAATACATCTGGCAGCAAATGTGTATTTTCCCTTTTTGTGTCAATTCTGATTAAGCACAGAATAGGGAACTCCTGATTTTGGCACATTAGCTGATGAAAGAAGTGCTTTCTTATTCCACCTTCTCTCTTCATCTTGCAGTGTACCATTGCAAGCTTGTTGTCTTAGCTCGAAAATGGGGGAAAGGGTTATTAATCAACTTCAGTGACAGGAATATCCAGAAACAGCACAATCACAACAGTGATTGTGATTGTCTAATATAAGTAGAAGCAAAACATCTCTTTTACTGATGTATTTATGAAAGGCCATTTAAGTGAATTCTTCTATTATCTGTTTTCAGTCAAGTGCATCTGTATGATTAAATGTGAAGGTGGGATTTAAACTTTCCGGGGAGATTTGAAGAATCCTGGCTGTGTGTGAAGTCTAAGACCTTCCTGTGACTTGCTTGTTTTATTTCAGTGCAGAAATAGTGTTGCTCAGTTTTGGTTGATCTCTTTGAGCTCTGCTAGACTTGTAGAATTAGAAATGTCCCTTCCTATAGACCTGCTATGCCTTCACATATGACTTCATAAAAGTACTAAGCATATGCTTCTGCTATTTCATTTTTTCCTATTTTTAAATGTTTTCCTCACCGTTTGATGCCAAACTTGCCTATCCTGGCACTGGTTTGAGAAAGAGGCCTGAGGGGAAACATGTTTGTGCTACAGAGCACTGGGTTTTGGCTCTGGTGTAGGTTCTGAAGAGGAGTGTGAAGGACCTGTGTGGGGTGGTGTTCACCCACCTCTTCAAGAGACTGATGTTCAGGTGCAAATTTGCAGGGCTGGAGTGTGCAAGGTCACTATGGGAGAGGGAGGAAATGTGTACAGGAGAAGAAAACTCCTAGTTGCAAAGTGAGTGTAAGATGACAGATTTTCCTTTCAGATTTTCTTTTAATTTGTCCCTTTTCCTCCTTCACAGGAACTTGAGATGCAAGCTCGGGCACACGGACTGTCCCTTGTTCCATCTACAGGCCTTTGCTCCCCTGACATGGTCAACAGGGTCATCAAACAGGAGCCTGTATTGGACAACTGCACCCAAGACATGATGGCACACCACACAGACCTGTCCTGCACCACCACCCTCGACCTCACTGACGGCACCATCACCTTCAGTGACAACCTCGGGAACGTGACTGAACCAACTGGCACGTACAGTGTTCCTGCGAAAATGGGATCCAAACTGGAAGATATCCTGATGGACGATACCCTCTCCCCTGTTGGAGTAACTGACCCACTACTTTCCTCCGTGTCTCCTGGGGCGTCGAAGACGAGTAGCAGGCGGAGCAGCGTGAGCATGGAGGACACTGATCATGCTTGTTAGCATATACTTGGCACACCTTTCATAAACTGCTTTGGTTCTTGATCAGTAGATGAAATAATTTACCTTTTGTAGAATTTTTTTGATTTTTTTTTTTTCCCTTGTGCTTCATTAGTGTGTGTGCGTGTGTGTACATATTATATATATAGGATTTTTTTTAGAATTTTTGTGAAGAAACTTGTATATTCTATTTTAAAACTACCAACGCCTCCAAAATATTGTACAGCATATGTACAGTATCTGTGAACTGGATTCGCCAAGAACTTTGAACTGGTCAAATCTACTCAAAGCAATAGAATTACAGATGAAGAGTCTGTTTCTACTTGGGGGGGGAGGGGGCAATCATAGGATTGTAAATGCAACCTATTTACCTGGAAACAAAATGTAAAGTTAAAGAATGTAAAGAAACCAAAAAAAAGAAAAAAAAGTCCAATTTGTAATTGTATTAATTGAATAGTGCTGCCTTAAAGATACAGTGTCCCTCAGATGTTGGTCTTACATGACAAGTGTTTAGGGAAAATACCCACCCTATTCCACTCAGAATACAAACTAAAACCAAGTGTTAAGACATCCTGATTGTGTTGATTGTGATATAAAATGCTGTTGCTGAAACTGCAGGGAGATGTGAGTGTCTCAGAGTGTTGTTTAATTTTACTCTGAGCTGATTTGGGTTTTCCTTTTGATCACGGTTCGAGTTTTTCCTCTTAAATCTTTATTTTGTTTTGTGACACACATTGGTGGCTTTGCCAACAACAAACCAAGCAGGAGCACTGTAAGTTGGAATACACTCTTTGGACAAAAAAAAAAGGCATTTTATCAGCTGGGCACATTATGTTGTACATATCTAATTGGCTTTATTTTATTTTTTAAATTGCATTGTACAGTTTCTTTTGATTTGCATGGATTCCTTAGTTATCGTCAACTTTTTGTTTTAAATTTATTTGTATTTCATTTGTAAGATTTTTGCCTCTTAATATTGCAACGATTTTTTGACATTTTTAAAACTCATTGGAAGTTTTCTGCGTTCTTTGTAAACACTTGAAAGGAAGCTTTTATGCAGGGTTCTGTGTTTTCAGAGAGATTTCAAGAATATTTTGTATATTACAGTCTCACTTTGAAAATGTTTTTAAACGCATTTAAGGTAGAGTAAAAATATAGATTAGGTAATAAAACAACTCTGTAGAGAAACTGAACTTACATATTTATTTTTAGTGATACTGAAAAAAAAAGTAGTAATATGCTTGGAAACATAACTATGTAGTTAATATACCCGTTAGAGCAATTTGTGTTCTATTTCAGCACTGGGGCTGACATAAGAAAAAAAAACAACAAAAAAAAAAAAGGAGTAAATTACTGTATCTGCAAATAACTGTTACTTGATAACAATGTTATTAATTTTTAACATGCAACCATGTTGTAAAAGTAGTTCGGTGCATTATCTACTCAAGTGTAGTCCTATGCAATAACGGTAGTTTTCCTTGTATTATATCCAGCCTAGGTGTTTCACGGAGGTGACATGCGGTGTTCCGAGCTAGACAGAGGGAGTGGATTTCTCCATGGCAGCCTACAGCTGACTCGCAGGCGTAGCTCGTTCAGAATGAAGTGCCTTAAACTCTAGATGTAGTCTTCCTCGACTAGCACTGACTGAAGTGTGGCGTAGGAGAGAGCTTTAGGGTGGTGGTTTGTAGGACGTTGAGGTGTAGCATGGTGCCTACGTGTAGAAAACAAGAGCTTCCCGTTCTCCTTTGTGCTACACTGGAAATTCCATGGGATGAGTGCGACGGTGAGTGACTTGAGTGCCAGTTTGGGAGGCTTTCCAAGGAAACCTGGGGCTCGGCAGTTAGTGCCCAGAAACCAAATGTGAATTGGGTGGTGATGGGGCAGCTGGGGATGGTGTCAGGAGTCCATCCCAAAAGCTTCTCCACGGGAGAGTTCCTGGTGTCCCTGCCTGGCACCGCTGCTCCCGGTGTGGATGGCAGGGACACAGCTGCGGTTACGGTACTCCGGGGTCTGTGTGTTGCTCTTTCTGTGGCTGTGCTGGTTGTGTCTGGCCCTCTCCCTTCCTGCTTGAGCCACCAGCTATGTGTTAGCGTTGATGCAACCACCGGGTTGTGGCTTCTTTCTTTCCTTTGTAGTTTTTGAAGGAGGAGCTGGAGTTAGATTGTAATGATGCCTCTCCCTGCCCCCCCCCCCCCCCCCCCCCCCCCCCCCCCCCCCCCCCCCCCCCCCCCTCCCCCCCCCGGCGCCCGCCCCCCCCCCGCCCCCCCCCCCCCCCCCCGCCCCAGCCAGCCTTTGGGAATGTGTCTTTCCTAGGGTAGAGAAGCTCTGGCCCAGGCAGGACCCAGGAGCCTGCAGGACGCACTGCAGCCACCGTGGTCCTCGGGCAGCAAAATGCTCCCAGTCCCTGCAAGGCAGCTGTGCCATAGTCAGCTCCGAGTCATGTATGGGAGCACAGGCTTCTGGTGCTGCTGTTTGGTTAGGGTGACAGGTGAGAAAATCAGGGCTGTAAAAAATGCTTGTAGCTGTAACACAGACCTGTGTTAGCCTCCCCCATGAAAATGGGACAACTCTGCAGCGTTGGTACAACAAATCAGGGTGTGCACGCTGGAGTGTAGTAACTGAGAACCACTGAGTATATTGAATAAGGATTTTGGTTTGGTGCCTGTGCTGGACATTCAGAAATTCAAGTCTAGACTGTGGTATATGAATATTTTTTGAGCTTATGTGAAATCACTGGTACTCGTTGACAGCCGTGACTTCTAATTCTTAGCTATGTCTGAGTGGAGATGAGTTAGGATTCAAGGCAAACCATTACATCAAGAGCTGGATTCCTGGGTAGAAGTCGCTGTGGCCACAGCAGCTCTGTTGTGTGCTCCCTGTACCTTGTGTTGTTCTGGGGTAACATACAACTCTGCTGTGCCCTGCTCACTCTTCACCCTGTGTTTCCTTAGGCCACAGCCCTACTCTGAGTCTGCCCACCCCTTGAATGGTGACACTGCAGTGGGGACACCTTCTAGGAGACACAGACCCCCAGGTGGGTGCTCATGGGAGGTCCCTTTGCCCTTTTGGGCGTCATGGAGTGTGTGGCTGTGAGGTTTTGCAGGGCATTAGTGGCAGAGGACAGAGACAGCGACTACAGGCAGGGTTTGGCATGGACTGGGTGGAGTGAGATGGACAGAAATTGTTTCCCACTCTGGGGACGGTGACTCGTGTGACGCTGGGCAGCGACGGCTTCCCTGAGCAGGTGGGTGGGGAACGACCAATTCTCACTTTGCCAAACCCGTGCAACAGGCAGGGACATACAGAGTACCATGAAGTTCTTCCTTACTGCTTTTGGCCTATAAAGCAATATTTAACTCTTACAACCTGTAAAGCAAAAAGAAGGTACATGAGGAAAGCACAAAGCACAAAATAATGCACTTACATTTATGTTGTTTGACATAAAATGCACTGGGGGGGAAGCTGATGTTGATAATAGTATAAATACCTATATTTCTTGAAAAAGTGACATTAATTACTGCCTCTTGCTATGATGCTTGGTACTGTAATGTTGATATTCATCTGCTGTTGACTGCAGCAATAATTTGTGTATGGTCCATAGCACTGTAAATTATGGATCAATTATTAATGTATCCAATGAAATAATTTGAACTGTTGTTCTTGATAGATGGATTAAAGCATTTGGTTTTTCACATATGTCTGTGTAAGTCACTCGTTTTCCATGTGGGTGGATCTTGTTCTCCTGTGTATTTGAAGTCCCTGCAGTGCTCCTGTGTCTGGTGGATGTGTCCATGTCCCTGACCTGGTGTTGGTTGGCATCCCTGGTTGTACCAGAACTGTCCAGTTGTGTTTGTATGGTGGTAGCACGGGAGGATGGAGCTACAGATCAGACCCCACTTGGGCTTTGCAAACACACACCAAGGTGAAGAGACCTGGTGCAGCGTAAGGAGTAAAGCAAGTGAGTGTGGTAAAATGTCATTGCCTCTCCCCACTCATGGGCTCCTGCCCTTTGCCTGGCTCCCTCCCTGCTCCCGTGGGCATCTGCCAAAACCACCCCTGGCAGCACTGCCCTTTGCTGCTCACCAGCACCCTGTGCCAGGCATGGGCTCAGTGAGGCCCCTTTGCCCTGCTGTCACTCCTGCAAGGTCACCCACCCCCAGCAGTCCTATGCAGGAGCCCCTCACCACCTTCTCCAGCTGACCTGTGCATGGGATCCCCACCCTCCTTGTGTTCATGCCCAGGTTCCTCCTCCCAGACCTGCACTCACCCACCATGCAAACAGCTGCTCCTGGGTTGTGCTGGGAGCCGCAGCTTGTGGTGATGAGGAACCAGCTGGAGTCTTATTGTGTCTTGCTGTCTTCATTATTTCTCCCTGTCTCTGTTGCTTTCATCCCTTCTGGTCTTGTTCTTTGACAGGCTGTCGCTTCCTGTGTTCACAGCATTGAGTCCCTGTGTCTCTGTGGTCCTTGCTGCAGCAGCAGTGGAGGTTCATGAGTGTTATCTCATGGTTTTGAGCCCTGAATGCAAACAGAAGTTTGAATTTGGCCTGTGTCTTGAAAGTCTGATACCTATTAGGAGTAGAAAATACATAATTC